AAAATATTAAAATTAAATTATGAAACTAAATTTTTATGTATGAATCATATCAATTCAGTGTATAATATGTAATCTTTATTAATAGAACAAAATAAAAAGTTCCTAATTTTTAAAACTTATACTTAAATGAGATGTAATTTAATAATGGAATCAATTGAAACACGAATACATAGAATCATTATATGTCATACATTTTTTATATATTATTTTCGCACTATAATTAATAGATGCGTAACATTAGGGTTATTAATTTTAAATTATAATGTAACAGAGTGATTGTTAGAATGGAATTTATATATTTTATTTTTACACATTATCAAATGTCGTAAATTATGATAATTATTCATATATATACATGTTATAATTTATGCGTAAATATGAACTCACAAAGATTAAAGCCATTTTATTTACCCCTTTCAAGTATATTACGATTTATACTTTTTTCTGTTAATAGTGATTATTCATTTTGTTTTATGACGAAATAATAATCCATCAGCATAAGTAGAAAAAGGAACCATTTATTATAGATAGAATATATTCATATATTTTCCTTTCTAATTCCGTTAATTAGAGAAATTTGTCTTGATTTCACATTTTATTATAATTAAAGTATAATAATTTCTTTTTTAAATAAATGTAATGAACATATATATATATATATATATTTGAATAACGAAGACATATATAATGAAGGTCAATGTCACACTATGTTCATAATGAAAAATAATGAATATCCAGGAAAAACTTTTTTTTTCTTCTTCAGTATATATATATTTATTAATCAATTTCAAGAAATATATATAATATATGAAAAGTACGATAACCTTTTCTAATTAATATATTTTTATAATTGCTTTATGAGTATATTAATTATGTTTATCCTATATCTATATTAGTGGAAAAAGCCAGAGCATATTTTCTGCACAAGCCCTAAGATGGAAAATAAACTTTTTTAGTATAAATTGTAAATTTATATATTTCTTTAATATTTTTTTAATTATATAAAAGGAATAATTTAATTTTAATAGATGAAGTATTTTTTTTTTTCAAATATATTTCAAGGCATTCTCATACGTAATACATATAATGTAATAATTTTTCACGTTTTTACATCATAAGAAAAATAAGCACGTTGATTTTATATTTTTACTTCAGATTTAATATTCTTACTGATTAATTAGGAACAGATTTATACAAATTATAGCTTATTTGGACATTAATTAAGAATTTAAAAAAAAAAAAAAAAAAAACTAAGAGAAAATTAAATATATTTAATCAAAAAAAAAGATAAACTGTAAATGACATATTAAATTTTTTGGTTTTTACATACTAATAATATATATATGTAATATATTTTAACATTTTAGTACAATAATATTTTGGTCACATAATATTTTAAGTGTTATAAAATGGGATATATACTTACACAAACATTTAATTATTAATAACTTTGTTTTATAAATCCATGTAAAATTTTCAGTAGCAGTATATAATATAATTGATAATCTACATAGAAAAATGAATTATATATATTGTATTAAATTATTATAATAACTTGCAAATTATATATGTATAAATATATTATCCTATATATTACAAAATTATTTTATTTATAATATAATGTTTTGTAAATTATAAAAAATATTTTCATTTAAGCTTCTTGATGCTGTTACCGGAAGAGGATTATTTTTATTCATTAAATTATTCAGTATTTATTCTATTATGTATTAATGTATTTAACATTATTATATTATTTACATTGAAACGTTATATTATTGCACTGATAGATCAATATTTATTTCTGATTCATAATGTTATAAAATCAATTTATATATATAGGATATTATTAATAGTAGCATTCTATATGTAAATTCCTTACTTCTTTTCCTTTGTTATTTAAACAAAATATATTATTAAATTATATGTGTAATAATAAATTATTCTAAATTATATAATATATTGTATTTAGAATTACTTAAAATTCCATCGGATGTTACTAAATTTTGAAATATATTACCATCTTCATATATATCATTCCATTTATTTCGTTTCCTTTTAACTGCACGATACAGTTGTAAAACATATGGAGTGTACTATTCATAATAAAAAAATATATGAATTAAAAATATAATACTTTTTCGACTAATGTTTTAATTTTTTAAATTATTTTAATAGTTTAATTTATGGTAATAAAAGAAAATATCATTATTTACCTTATGCACAACCAATAATAATAGAAATATTATTATCATTGTAACAATAGTAATTACAATAGGAATTGCAATATTAGGTTGGCGCTGTTTGGCTGGTGTTATGGGTTCAATGGTTCTTATAGCTTCCGTTTGCTTCTTTCTATCATGCTGATCTATATAGTTTCTTATTGTATTACAAAAAGGATCACGCTCATGTTTTTCATCATCTTCTGTATTAATACACTTATATACATTATACAAATGTGACAGTTTGATTAATTCGTATTCAGTAATACTGTTCCTATAATCTTTGCATAAAAGACCGCGATATAGGAATGTTTCATTTATTTTTAATAATCTTTCAAAAAGACTTTTGATAATATTTCCTTTTCCTTTTTCCATAAGTTTATGATATAGCCAATGATACAAGTATAAACAATGAATACTTTCAGAATCGTGCTCATTTTTTCTATTTTTACTAATTATATGATATATATATGACATAGCCTGATGGCATATTTTTTTATATTGCATATCGTTATTATTAAAATCTCTTATATTTAAATTATTACAATAACCTTCATATACCTTATCAAAAGTAGTTGTTTCTTTTTGCATTGTAATGTTAGCTTCAGATAATCTTTTTATATATTCATACTAAAAAAACATACAAAGTAATATTATTTTTTGAAGGAGTTATTAAATATTTACATAAATCGGAATATACAACAATTATAATATTGTAAATTCAATTATAATAGTTAATATATACATTTTTATCAACCATCTCAGATAAGATTATATTATATGTGAGGTAAACGAAATATTAGAATTAATAATATGAAAAAAAAATAAGTACTCGTAACTGAAAACATATATTTTGAAAATATATATATTACTAAATTTTATAGTTATGTGATGTAAAGATAGCATAGAATCAGTTGATCTTTGTTTTTTATACAGATTAAAATGTAGATGTAATTATTTTACACAGATATATTAGTAATTATTTTTTCAAAAAAATTAAAAAGATAAATATATTATTAGAAAAGATAAAAAATAATATATTTTCTGAATTATAATATTATAGATACGTTAATATACATAAATTACATAATTTTACTTAAAAAATTCATAGTAAAAAAAAATACATAATTATAATATTTTTATAAATTTATAATATATTTGATAATTAATCAATTCATTATTATTCCATTAGTTATATTATAATATATAAAACATCAAAGATTAATTAAATCTGTTATAGGTATTTTGGATATACTAATTTGGTTACACAAGTTTAAAATTTAGTAATGATTATTAAATAAGTTATTGAAGTTTACATAACGTATAATTATTATAATGTTATGTAAAGTATATTTAAGTTTTTATATCATTTAATATGAGTGTAATGGTGTAACATAAATACACTTTTTACATATAATTATTTTATATAAATATTATGGATATATACATTTTTATAATAAAATATTATTTCAGTTGATGTAACGGAATGCAATTTTTATACTTGCTTATATGTAATATATAATTTTTATTGTTTAAATGTTTAGGGTTTTGAGTTTATGAATTATGTTCACTATATTATTTATGGGGTTATTTTTTTAGAGTTATTGTCATGGCATCTAACGTTTAAACGACAAGAATATTCATCTCAATTATTGTTACTAATATATCACTATTATAGGCTTTTGTATGAAAAGGTTAATTATTACATTTTAAATGAAATGCAGGTTTACTATTTTACTATTAACATTAGCATTCTACAATCCACGTATGTTATATATATTTTCATATAGTAATATATATACTATTTGCCCCAATTGCATTATGCGATTTTTTATGAATACTTGTTTTAACTCCATTTGTGCATTCTTCCCATATATATTTAAGATTAGCGTTATGTATATATTCATATTTTGATTTTTTTCTATTTTATTCTTAAAGAAAACCATTTTTATTTCTAAAAGTTCATTCATATATATTTTCATAAGCATGTAGACTATTTTGTAGAAAATATCCTAAATCATATCATTTTAATCCATAGCTTTATTTATATTAAATTATAATTCTTTCTTTTGAAGAAGAATATTTTTTAACATTTATTTTTACATTGAATATATGATTTAGTCATATTACTTTTTTTTTATATCACTATATATTCACGTATATTAGAAGCTGATATATAATTTTTTTGATATTTTTGCTTTAGCTTAACACAATTGCAAATAAGTTATGTAATATGATTATCTTATGAATTATTTATTTGTTCGAATAGTACTTTTTTGTTAAATTAACATTAAATTATGTAATTACGTTCAGAATGTTTGTATTCAGATACATCTCAGACTGATACTAAATATTATTTGTACTTCTGCAGTCAGTACATATTGGTTTTTGCATCCATTACATTTATTTTTAGTTTAATATTCTTCGGATATCATACTAAAAATATTTTTATCATGATAATTATTTATGTAAAGCTATTTAGATATATCATAATAGTTTTAAGAAATTTTTCCTATTATCCAGTATTAACATAATATGCATGGCGTATATAATTTTTCAAAACAATCTGTTGAGCTTTCCTTTACTTTTTATATATATTTCATCACATTTTTTGTGTACTTCATTGAATGTATTTCCATAAAGTTTATTAATGTCATGTTAAAATTCATGCATATATGTTAATGATTTATCAGGGTACTCCTGAAACTTATAAAGTTCGTCACCACGAAATGCATTAATTTTTGTAGGCCAATTCTAAGTTGATTAATTTTAACTACAAATATGATTTATTTTTATTTTTTTAAATAGATAACTTGAAAATATAAAACTTGTACATGAATATAGACATTTACAACAGGAAATGCAACATGCCAGAATCATGAGTTCATATTAAAATATTTAGGGAGTTATAAATAATTAAATTCTAAAGGGATATATATTATTTTGTTTAACATAACATTAGGTTGTTTTGAAGGTAAATATATTCATACTTTGATGTAATATTATTTGTACATATAATTATTTTTAATGACATTTGTAAAAAAATTATATGTACAAAGATACATTTATGCAATTTTTAATATTTTTAAGCATTAAATTAATATAAGCATAATATATATGTAAATATGAGTTATAGAAGTAAAATTATGGTAAAAGATGTATAAGTATATTGGTTTCATATGTAAAATATGACGCAAATAAAATAATAAATGTAGAAATGCTCCATTTGATGAAAACTAACAAATGGAATAAAACATTTTCTGGAAATTGTTATATATATATATATATATAT